CTCTCTCTCTCTCTCTCTCTCTCTCTCTCTCTCTCTCTCTCTGTGTGTGTGTGTGTGTGTGTGTGTGTGTGCGTGTGTGTGTGTGTGACACACACACATGTACTCTCACTCTCACACACACACACACAAAATAACACGAAAAAAAAAATGAAAGCAGGATTTCGCGCCTCGTATCCCAACCACGTGCGAGATTTCGCACCTTAAACCTCCAACCCCTTTTCGGCAACTTACGACTAGCTTTCCCCCCGCACCCCTTCGACTTTCCCCCTAACTTTTCCTCTTCTCCCTCCTTTCCCTCCTGTGTACTTTCCCCTCTTCTGGTACTTCCCCTTTGTCCTCCTGCTCCCCCTTGTCCTCCGCCAGCTCCAACTCTTTCTGCCTCCCTACCCTCCCTCCCCCTTAGGCTTTCACCTTCCTTTTTCTCCTCCTACTCGTGTTCCTCTTCCTCTTCCTCGTCCTGCCCTTCATGTCGCTTCGTCTCCCTTTCGTGATCAGAGTGAATAGGAAAGAAAAACAAACCCACCATAGCCTCGTGCTCCCCTTCATGTCGCTACGTCTCCCTTTCGCGATAAGATTGAGTAGGAAAAAAAAACAAAACCACCATAGCCTGATTCGGCCCCTTTTCCCCACGTCATTATCATCTCACCTTGTCCTTGCAAATAGTGCTCCTTACTCCTTACCTTTCATCTTCATCGGCGTCTTCAACCTCGTTTTCATCAGTCAGCGTCGTCATGGTAGGGTGCTTGGTCTCTCTCTCTCTCTCTCTCTCTCTCTCTCTCTCTCTCTCTCTCTCTCTCTCTCTCTCTCTCTCTCTCTCTCGCCCCATTTGCTTCATATGGCCAGACCACATTCACATACTTTTGTTTTCTCTTTCTTCCCTCCTCTTCTTCCCTAATGACCGACTACTCCTTTTCTCCTCATCGCTCCCCATCTCTTGCCTCTCGCTCATGCTCGCGCTCTTCCACTCCCTTTGTTCTCTATTCCCTAACAGACACATTCCCCTCTCCTTTTCTCTCCATATACATATCTACCTATCCGTTGGTCTACCTATCTACTTATCTATCCTGATCTCCTTTTCTCTCCATACACATATCTACCTATCTGTTGGTCTACCTATCTACTTATGTATCCTGATCCTTCTCCTCTCCTCGCTCCCTCCGTCAACCAATCTGTGTCTCTCTCTCTCTCTCTCTCTCTCTCTCTCTCTCTCTCTCTCTCTCTCTCTCTCTCTCTCTCTCTCTCTCTCTCTCTCNTCTCTCTCTCTCTCTCTCTCTCTCTCTCTCTCTCTCTCTCTCTCTCTCTCTCTCTCTTCCCACCCCCTTGGGGCTTGCTCTCTCCATCCCTCTCCCTGTTAGGGACGTCCACTTTTTCCAGATTTTATTCCATATTTTAGTTTTATTTTTTATTTTTTGGGATGTTTTATGGTTTTCGATTCATGTTGTTGCATGCACATACCCACTGCTGATCTCCAGTCGTTCCTTTATAACACTGAGACTTCCACCTCCGTACTCTTTCATTGAAATCTCTTTGCAAATACTCCCCCCTTCCCTTGCCACCAACTACTGCTCATGAGCTAAATCGTGACGGAATGTGTTCACGATCAGCTCTTCACGTCTCCTATGAGTATGTTTGTGTCTGTATTTGTGTGTGTGTTGTTATGAGTGTGTGCTTACGTTGTGTATTTATGTGCGGTTGTGTGTCTGAAGTACACGGCCGCAGCCTTCCTTAAAAGAAACTCGTCGCCCATCCGAAAAAGTCAGGGTTGGGCAACCATTGATAAATTCCATCGGCGGCCTTTGTCACGTTTCAGCTTTCAAAAGGGGCCCACCGCCAAAGGATGGTGTGCACTGGTCATTCAAACCCTCAACAAACAACGTCACAATCACCTCTTGCAAACCTCTACATTTCCTACTGACAAGAACCAGTAAATACATCCGATTATGGGGCTTTTAACAATTTCCGTTTCCTGTCCCCATACTTTCACGTTCCTTTGAAAGGGTTCCACCTGGTTCGTGCAACAAGTGCAGATACAGGGTCCCCAGACTTTCCCCACCCAGTGTACAGTACGTTTGTGTTGTTCGTTGACCCCGTGTACATTGAACCCGCGACCTGTCCCCAAACCCATGTATAAATGCCTTGTGTATGAAGCCCGGGTCGTGTGGATTTGATCCGTAGGTCTATTGTTTAGAAGTCCTAGGGTCGCCTGTAGATGTCCCAAAAAGGCAAGTTTAGAGTTGACCTTTCAAAACGTCGGTAAGTCGTGGCTAGGTTAGGTCTCGAAGAGTCAACTTGACCTCTCAAGGTCAGAAGAGGCAGCCCCTCAAATCTCTGAAAGGTCAAGAGTCCCAAGTCAACCCCGAAGGGGCACATGAAAAGGCAGTCCCAGTCGAGTCCGTTTTGCAGCAAGTACCAGAGCGGGACTGCACATCTTGAGGGCCTGGGACATCGGACCACCAAACGAAACAGTATAAATAAAGAGGCAGCGATCAGTCATGGACTAATTCTGAGACAAACTACACGGAAGTGCTGCTTGAGTGACTTGTGCGTTGCGTCACAGGTGGTCAGGAGGACAGCCCGGGTTGAAGAGGGCAAGCGGCCATAGCTGCTACGAGGAAGACGACGACGGCCATAGCACCCGTGTGTAGAAGATAGAAGATAGAAGATAGTGTGTGCGAGTGCAGACATTCAGGGTAGATCCAAGTGTTGTGTGCGTACATGCGTGTGAGTGTGTCTGATGGTGGATGAAGTGTTCAGGTGGGAATTTCAGACTGGCGCTCAGACGCCACAGCCGCAAGATGTGACAAGTTTGTCTTGAGCTGAGTTCCTGGCCGAAGGCCATATCCCTGACTTTTCTGTGTGGGCGCATTGCGCCATCTCAAGCTTGTTGCTGATTGAGGAAGTTGTTTTGCCATCGACATCTGCATGCATGCATGTTGGATGTGAAATCGAGACAAGTATAAATTGTATAATGCAGTGGATACCCTTCCACAATATTCATTACTTTGTCTGTATCCTTCGATTTCGAATTTGATACTTGCAATGTCCTGGGCAGGTTGTGTGCACTGCTGGAATTCCTTCTGATACGTGCAAACTGCATCTTCTCCTTCCAGCATCCATATACCTTCAAGACACTTCTGTCCTTCCTAACCGTTAACCCTCTTTCCCCACTCCTTTTTAATGCAACAGGAACTGCACATCCATACTTCGATAACTGCAGACTTGCCCACCGAGTATCTATACAACCCAGACTGAGCCGCTGGCTCACTTCAGCACATCTGTTTGCCGACATGCAACCCCCAGATATGTCGACTGCAGACTGCTTGTTGTGGTACCCAAGCTCCAACGACCTGGGGTAGGTTGGACAATCATTACACGTAGGCCCAACATCCTTGAGACAGGATATCCTCCTTTGCGACCACATCCTCTGCCGCAATTATGGGCATCTGTTTGTGGAGACACCACCCACAGATATGCTTCACAAAAAGCATTGTGGCATCAAACCGCCAAGAAACTCACCGCCAAGAAACTAAGGTCGGGAAAATCATAAAACATGGCCGTACTAATCAAATGTAGCCAATACACCTGCCCCCATTAGTCACATGGGCATTTATTTTCCAGACAGGATTGCACCTTGTCACCACCACGAACGAAGAACCAGAAGCACACTGACATAGAGAGACTTAAGCTTTCCATTTTCTCACCTTTGGATCTTCAAAATCTCCCACTGCAACAATTGCCATTCTGTCAAGCCGATACCAGCGACGGTAGAACGAACGCACTGTGGTGGCTGACACATTCCGGATGACTTTCTCCAGCCCAATTGGCGAACGCTCTGCATACTGAAAAGGCCACAGGCACAAACAGATCAGAAGCCATGAACATCTCTTCGCCACTGATTGTGTTATACCTGGTGTCGACTACTTTGCAATGTACTTTCAAAAGCTGAGACAAAAGTTAAACTCGTAGGTTTTCTCTTTTTTTTTTTCTTTTTTTTTTGGGGGGGGGAGGAAGGGGAGGGTTCGGGAACCCTTTCTTATTCTCATTTCTCACCTAACAATTCTATGACAACATTTTGTGAGATTTTTGTACGACCACTGATTGCATCCCCACACTACAGGCATTAATTTCCATAGTGCTGACGGACCAAGGAAGACAGTCATGAAGGTAATCGGCAGATGAAGCTAACAGACGTCATAATGGCAGAAGACCTCAAAGACCAACAGGGCAGGCGAGCAGAGGCCTCCTATCCAAGCAACAGGAATGATAATCCCATAACCCCAATGCACGAAATGGTGTGAATGTAACAGAATGAACGTAACAGCATAGATAACAGAAATGAAGCTCAAAGGAAGCCCATAACAGCATGGATGTAACAGGATGCACATAACGGCATGAACATAAAAGATGAATGTCAAAGCAGAACGAACGTAACAGGAGGCACATAACCGCAAGAACATAATAGGAAACCAACAGGATGAACACAACAGCATGCTGCTCAACAGCATGCTGCTCTGCCAAGCAAAATCGCAGAGCGGGATAGATATAACAAACATAACAGAACGGTCGGCGTATATCAGACTTCAAGACAACTTCAAACAACAGGCCTAAGCCGACTGCCAAGGCCATTGGTCAGACAACTGCCAGATGCCACACCGCAGGCGTACTGACACTTATTCCGCCTTTTTTTTCCTGCATGAAAACTGTGGTAAGCCAGAGACAAGGGGTCAAAGGCCTTGGTGAACTACATAACAACTTCACAACTTACAGGTGACTCATTCGGACAGCAGCAATACAGAACTTCTCTTTACTCCAACTTCTCTGAGCTCATAAGACAAAGCAATTAAAAACTTCTCCCCCCTCCAGCACAACATACCAAGGGGGAAGGAAACGAAAACTGAAAACGGAAGCGGGAAAGAGGAGACAGAAGTGGAGGAGGAGGAGGAGGAGGAAGAGGTGGAGAAAAGCTTACGAGGAATGAGCACCAGATGCGCAATCCCCTGTTTAGATAAAGAGATCATGCTCACCTTCATCCCTTGCATGACAAGGTTCCAATGGGCTTCCTGCATCCGACCAAATGCATTTCGACGCTCTCTCCATTCCTCCAATACAGCACCTCTTTCTTTATCAAGATCATCGTCCGTGATGCGAATCTGGGACCATAAGTAAACAAGCAAGGCATAGCATGGCCAGATTCATTGAGAGCATACTCCCAAGGGGTGGCAACACACATATACAAGGTTTCAGAAGCATAGATTTTGCAGGCCTCTGTTCGGCCAACGACCTGTGTTCTATGTGCAACAAGCTCTACAGTTCCACAGTCCAAAGGAAAAGGTTAACAGCACGTCTCCAATCTGACTGCATTGTATACATGACCAGGACTTCTTCCCGCACCATTCCACGCCCGAGTACCTATTGTTGGGCAGAAGAGGCCAGAAACAGGGTCTGAGAGAGGTATGGTAAAGCCACCCCATCTGTGCAAACACTGGCCAAAGATGATCAAGGTTCCCACGGACCGATAAGCTTTTGTATAACCGCATTAGGACAATTTACTGCAACAATATAATGAAAGAGTGACTGCGTAATCATCGGCCTCTCTCTCTCTCTCTCTCTCTCTCTCTCTCTCTCTCTCTCTCTCTCTCTCTCTCTCTCTCTCTCTCTCTCTCTCTCTCTCTCTCTCTCNCTCTCTCTCTCTCTCTCTCTCTCTCTCTCTCTCTCTCTCACACACACACACACACACACACACACACACACACACACACACACACACACACCGGAGGACAGAAACAGAGGAAAACAAAAAGTGCCACGAATCTCAAGATATTAAAAATGAAAGCCGTTACAGAATTACATAAAAACTAAACGAACAAAGAAAAAAACACGCACGCCTTTCTGTCTGTGTGTGTGTGTGTGTGTGTGTGTGTGTGTGTGTGTGTGTGTGTGTGTGTGTGTGTGTGTCCGGTGGTTCAGAACCCGGCCCTTCTGCAGGTCGTGCAGCATTTCACAGGACGCAAAAGTAGCAGAATTCATCCCGTTGAGGTCCACAACGGTGAGGCCTCCTATGCTCTTCCGTGCCCGTGTCCACCCTTTCAGATTATGGCGCATTTACGGCCACGACTTCCGGAGAGGGGGGCGGGTGCGACTGGTGGCACTTTAACACTACTACTCAGCATGGCAGTGTCGACCTTTGTTCGTTTATACATTCTCTTCATCCAGTTAATGCTGCATTCAAGTATGGGGCGTCCTCACACTGTGTGGATATGCATAGAGAACTACCAAATTCAGACGAAAAGGTCTCAGTGTGAGTATGCCCCCAATTTGCCTTCTTGCAATCAGACTCGACTTATTCACACTTTTCATGCACGTGAACAGCAGCACACAACTGGCGACTCGCGCCCACACAGTACACAGAGATATGTCTTCCAGGTAAGTTCGCTTCCACTGGCTATGGCGACTGCGCACCTCAAACACTCACTGTTCACACTCTGGATCACCCTGGATGTCCCACACGCGATACCCAGTACACACACACAGTACACACACTCTTCCCCTAAGCTACAGCTATGGCGGCTATGGCCGCCGCTACCCTACTGCTATGGCTACAGTATGTCACTCTCGCCCTCTTCGTCTTCGCGCCTTCTGCAGACCTCCTCGCACAAGCTGCTGAGGCAGCGCTTCGGCATGGCTTCCGCAGGAATGAATAATGGCTGGACGCAGCCTCTTGATTTATACTTCTGCGCTGCGTTGGTCTTCCCTGTGTCCCTTGGCCCCTGGTGCACACAGTCCCAGACGGTACTTGCTGGACAGGACCGGACTGCCTAACTGGGACTGTTGACTCAGCGAGGTGGCCTACCACCACTTGACCACTTGCCTCTGCTCAACGCAGGCTCACTCCGAAAGGCCACTTCTAGAAACCTTTAACTTGGCCTTTCGGTACTGTAGCAGCTACGACTTTGCCCCTTCAGGTAAGTAGCAGCTACGACCTTGACCCTTCAGACATCCTACAACTACGACTTCGGAACTGTCTAGACTCCAACCCTACAGGTCTACAGTTTGAATCCCTTCTACCCTGTGACCTACGAGAAGCTACCTACCACTGGCGGTCTTACAAGTAGCGGGTTCAAATCTACGGGTTGACACCGGTACTGTACACAGGTAAGATGGGGAACTAGGGATCGAGCCCTGGGATCTGCATCAGCTACCGCGAACTGGTGAATACCGTTTCATTCTCAAGTATGAATACGCTAAAAGGAGACTCTCACTAGCAGCATCTTAACTGTATCTAACCGCATTACGGCCGGGCCTGGATATATCTGACCACAATAACGTCCAAAACCAAGCAAAAAAGTCCTAGTGAGCTTACACCCTAAGTGACATGAAAAGTGGACAGCAATCTCAGCTTCCTAATCCAAGTCTGTGCACATTCAAGCAATAGACAGGATCACCTCTTGAACTTTCCGGTCTTTTTTCCCTTTTCCTCGCACTCACATTATGAAAATGGACAGTATTTGTCCCTCTTAAACCGCCAGCGGACAGCCCCAGCCTTGCTGAAACAGAACTCGTCATCTACTCCGAAAAGATCGGGGCCGCAATGCCGTCGACAGATTTCATCAACGTCCTTTGCCGAGTATATTTACTTCCTGAAAAATCCAGCCAACTCAGCTGGAAGGGAAAGAAAACCTGTGGCAGCCGGATTATCCATCTGGTTGAAAATGGTACACACATGCAATTGGTAAACATCTCACGAGTTCCAATCCTTATGAAATCAGATACAATGACATTTACGTGTGTGCTATCCCCTCCAGAGAAACAAAATGATGGAATGGCCACACTCCTGAATTGTCCATCTGACACCCCAAATGAAAAAGCGGACGCGAATAGCTAACCACAGCAGGTACACAAAGGAAATAATGGCTGGAACCACCACTACCTCCTGAACAAATCGGGCCAACACTGCAAACAGAAAAGACACCCATGGCCATCTGACCTGCAATCGGATGATCCAACTGAACCATCCGATGCACAATCTGACAATACAACTGCAAACCTCCAGGCCTCTCTCCAGGTAAGAAGGTGTGTTATAAAAAATAGGTGTGATTTAACCCACCACTGCCTGCACCTGATCCACTGGCATGCACAAGGCCCAAGGGGGAGGAAGAGGGAGTGGGGGGGGGCGGGCCGTAGGGTGGGGCGGGGGCACGCATCAGGTCTGATAACCAGCAGCAACCTTCAACCGAAACAGCTCCCTGCAACTGAAAATGGATAGCTTGGTTGTAGGCCCAGATTCTGGCCCCGCAGGCAATGGTGGATTCATTTCTGTGTTGTGAATGCTGCTACATCAGTATCATTCACGCAGCGTCCAATTACGCAAATTCTTTGCTCTACACAAACAAGTCTGAAGAAACGGTCCATACACCAACAGATTTCTGCACGTAAAGCAACTCGAAGGCTGGGATGTTACACAGAGAATTGTCGGGAGGTGAGCGAACAGCAAGTCCGAAAGCGCACCTCTGTGCTGAATTCCGCAAGCACAGATAAAGCCTCTGCCAGAAGCTTTGGCTGATCAATAGGCACAAACAGCTCGAACACAGTGTCATCTTCCGAAGTGTGGGCGTTCTGACAAGCTCCAAATTTCGCTCCAATGCTTTCAAGGAACTTCACAATATCGTGATTCAAGTAACTCTCTGTAGACCGGAAGGCCAAATGCTCAATGATGTGTGCCACACCCCTCTCATGATCTTCCTCGTGCACGGACCTGCAACCAGACACCCACAGCACATCATGAACCATTGAGACTGTGTTATACAACAAAAGGTAGTATTGAACAACATACCCCCAAAACAAGGGTTCAAGCTCTCAAACCCCTCCCTCCACACTTTTCAAAATTGCTCAAATGCCTCCACAATTTGGCTTATGCCTTGACGCTCTGGTTTATTTGCTGCAACGCCTCCATATTAGACAAATGCCTTCACAGTTTGGACATCATACTTGCACCCAGAGCGATTCACAAAGTCGAAGGTGCACTCCTGCAGTTCTCGGGAAGAACGGTGGGGGGGCAACGACAAGAGTGTTCATGATAGGACTACACAAATGTCCCACTTCTGCCAGGGTTCAGCAGAAGTTTTTTACTCTAGGCAGTGACGTCCTCTGGTGGAAAATGCTGCAGAGTCGTGTCACTAGCGAAGGGTGCCCAGTACCTGCCTGGTCGCTAAATGGTTACATACATGGTAACTATTGATAAACAGATCAAGAGGTCGGAATCTGATGGAAATTGCATTGTCAGGGGCTGGACACTTAAACAAAAGAGAGAGAGAGAGAGAGGGAGAGGGAGAAAGACAGATGCAGGTGTCCAACAGCAGTTCATAAAATGCTCCACACGAGTATACAGAAAGATTAGCATCGCCCCTGTGCAAGGATGACATGCATACATCGGAAAGCGTCCAAAAAAAGTAAGGAAGGAAAACACAAAAAAGAGAGCAAAAGAAGGAGATTAACGAAGTGACAGGTCAGCTATGCCTCTGACAATGGAGGAGGCATCAGTGCAGCCATAGCTCTAAAATTTGTATGTTCATTCGGGGAGGAAAAGAGACGTCAACGAGAAAAAGAGTCAGGTGGATTGGCACAAAAGGCGCTGCCTGGCCAACTGATAGGACAGAATGGGATTTGCTCTTATATCCACTGCACAAGGTCGCCTCTCCTCACAATTTTTGGATAAGACAATTTTTACAGGAGGGTTGTTACAGCTGTATCTGGCCTGAAATTTGCCCTCAATACAGCCATAACGACCACACGCTTTCCAGTAAGTGAAAGAAGACACTTTAGAGAGAATGCACGAGGGTTCCATTCAGGAAGCCAGGAGAAAGTTTCTGAATCAGTCAGAAGGATGTATCAGTGCGCCAGTGGTAGCACTGGGCCAGGATAGCCTCTCAACTGCACGTGGACATGGACCCCATCCTGATCCCGTTAAAAATTGGGATAAAAGTGACTCGTCACCTCCACGCTGGTCAGAATGTACTTGGATGTTACAGGTGCACTGGAATCGCGCTTTGTCCAAATTTTGCAAAAAAGTTGAAAAAACATTAATGCTCATGTCACAATGTGCAGGACATGGGCAACAAAACGGTTCTCTGACTTTTTTTCATCCTCAGTCCATTTATTTATTTTATTTATTTATTTAATATTCATCCATTCAATTATTTATTTATTTGCTTTCTGAAGATGTTGCAAGAAAATGAGCGAGAGCGAGAGGCAGAAAACCAAATTCCGATATCATGCTGTTGACCAGATAGTAATGTACCAAGCGGAAAGCACAAAGCACCGAGATACCAGCCAAATAAGAGCAGAGCAATGAGCTCAAATGTCAATGTCGACACTTTCTCGTCACACCAACACAGTATCCAATGTCGCTCTTCTTGATTGGCGCACAGCACCCAGCATACTCTGGTCAGTCTATGCTAAGCCTATAATGCTATGTGTGTGCAACAGGAGTCACTTCAATCTGAAGACCAATGTGCCTCTCCTCCTCTCCTACACCTCCTCGTCTTCCCCCAATGTGCATCCCCAACACCCGAAGACCACCATTGCCAAACCAGCCTGCGCCCCAGCAGCCCGGCTATGGCCACCGTGCACCCGCTGCGGCCCCTCTCACCTCTTGCGCCCGTGTGCGCCCTCTGGCCAGCGCTAATGCAGCCTGCTCCCACTACAAAGCAGCAGTGTCGCCCCATTGCCTGAAAGGCCAGAATGTCCTCCCTCGTGAGCTCTCACTTTCCCATATGGAAAGTGAGCGCCCCCTCCTGCCTCCTGGGCCTGGCCAATGTGTTTCCAGTAACTTCCAATAGGGTCCAAGTGCCTGCACCCACGCCCTTTCAGACAGATGCCTGGGAGTGCAGCATTGAGAGGCGCCCAACCACCCACGCTCCCTGGGAGGCGATCCCCGCTTGCTGATAGGCAGAGAGGCCAGCATCCAGAAGAACCTGGAAGGCTCAGGGAAGATTCTGATGCTCGCAAGCAGGGTCTGTAAAACCAACTGGCATGTAGAAACTGTCTGGCGCCCACCTTCCTGAAATGACAAAAATAAGGACCCTGTATCCGATACCAGGCCCGCCTTCACTTAAGGGCGGGCACACTGCTTGCTGGGGCCCCTCGGACATCTAGAGGCCACGACCGAGCGGCCAATGTGAGGTCTCGTTCCTCACAATGTTACATCCTGCAGAATTTGAACTCTTTCTTGATCTGTTACGTAACGCCCACATTTGAACACACTCAAAGGTCACAATTGAAAAAAAGAAGAAAAAAAAAACGTGTAAATTCAGACACTTGCCCCAGGCCGGTATGCCCTCAGGCGTTTGTGCAAACCACAGTTTTCAAAATATCCATCTGAATCTACCAGCAGCAATCCCCCACTTACCCAGATCCTTCCTTCCTCACCCCTGTGGTCCGAAATGGAGGTTCCAGGTCAGTGGGACCCTGCCAGGGCACGGGACCGCTCCAACTGTCCTCCAAAATATTGGAAAAGAGAAGAAGGCACGATGTCCCTCCAAAACCTAGACAGAACAATTTCCCCGGCATACCATACACAGATCCCTGCGATCTGCATCTTGATACAGTCCTACTGGTACATTCTGAAAGACGCAGTAAGTACCAGGGAGGACTGGCAGGGCGAGGGGAAGCAGGGGGGAAGGGGGCAGGCAGGGTGGGGGGGCGAGAGGCCTCTGGACAAGAAATGAGACAATTTTTCAGTCAGTCAGAACATACCGTAAGGGTATTTGTAGACCAAGATCTCCCCTCGCCTCCTGGTAAAACTAGACTACCATCTTCCCCCCCCCCCTCTCCCCTCGCCCCCTGGTATGACTAGACCAGCATCTCCCCCACCCCCCTCTTTCGCCCCAAATAAATCACACCCCCACACCTTCAACATTTTGTTTCACAATGTCCAAAAGGACTAGTTTGCCGCTGTCACAATGTCCCCAGACCGCATGTCCATCCAGGCACATTCTGCATCCAGAGACAAAAGTATCCAGTGATGCCCTGCCATCAAAATGTGTATTAGGCCCTCACTGGCCTCACACTGCGCCTTTATTGTTTGTTAAGCTTTAAAAACACTTCGTTTTGGGTGGTCACTACTCCCACACAGGGCGAGCGGTTAGATAATCGGGAGCCCCACTTGGTCAAGTCTGGCCTCGGTTTCGTAAAAGGAAGGCGTAGCCCACTGTATGCGGTTTTTTTTTCCTTCGTTTTCCAAATCTGCCCTGGAATATTGTGTCAACCTCTGTTTTGTGATGAGAGCGCACTGCATTTTTTTTTCTTGTTCTGTTTTTCAACTTTTCTCTGGAATGTACCACTTCAACCTCCATTTTGTAACAGTGACACCGAACCCGGTGTGTTCTTCATTTTTTGTTTCCCATCCAAGTTTTGAATACAGTTTTCGTTCCCACTCTGGTGGCCCCTCCCACACACAGGGCAAGCAACCAGTTACAGCATTTGGCCAACTGGCTACCAGAGAAAATTGGCCAATTTTTCTACCAGAGAGAGTTGGCCAATTGGCAACCATAATCAGCCCCTCCCACTTGGCGTGTTTTTTCCCTCTGACCTTCCCTGAAATAAATATACTGACTCAACGTCTTGGGGAGGAAAAGAGGCATGAAGGCTTCTCTATTGCCCTGATCCAAGACCTTCAGGCATTACGAAGCCGCACATAATACCACCCTCTATTCGGTTACGCTGCATAATGTAGGTATTCCTTCCCCCCCCGTCCCCCCCCTCATACAGTACACCATGGGACACATGGAGGACTTGGGGAGCAAAAGAAGAATGCTCGGTACTCCATTGGCCCGCTCCAAGACCTTCAGGCATTAAGCAGCAGCACCCAATACCAACTTTAATCGGTTTAGCTGCCAAATGGAGGCATCCCCACTTTTCTCTATTCAGGCAGGAGACCATGGCACACCCGGAGGACTGAGATGTGGCCACAACCACTGCACCTCCCCCCCCCCCCCCCCCCCCCCCCCCCCCCCCCCCCCCCTCCCGCTTCAGATGGAGATTCTCCAGGCCGGTTTTATGTGAAACTTTATTTTTTTTCCTTTGTCCACAATTGTTTTTTTTTTCCTAATCAGGTATTCATCCGTCCACTGGGCTGGCATACCCCCAGGGTATCTGGGGTTGGCTGGTGGCGGCTGGCAAGGGTCTTGAATCCAGCAACTGACACAACAATAGTACAGACCGGTACTTGCATGAACCCACTGTTTCGCAGCAACCAGCGAGTCGTACCAAAATGCTGGGCTACCAGTGCGGGCCAGGCCCTTCCAGGCTATGTGTGTTGCTCATACAGACATCACAGATGGGCATCCAGCCAGACATGCAGTCCAGTATAACAAAAGGAAACAAGGAAAACAGAAGAAAAAAGTGCAAGACGTTTTTCTCATGTGCTGCAGTGCCTCAAGGCACCTTCGTGTGCTTCCTATCCCAAAGGCACGAGTGTCCAAGCTCTGCCCAAGGCAAGACTGTGCTGCAGCACAGAAAGTCACGTTGGTTTGCTGCTTTTGGCCAACACAAGGTAAGATTTTGTGCCGTTTCTTTCCAAGGTAAAATTGCGTACTCTTTCCAGTGTTCCCACCCAAGGTAAGATTTTGTGCCGTTTCTGCCCAAGGTAAGATACTGTGCCGTTTCTGCCCAAGGTTTTCTCAAAATCTTTTCTTTTAACCAAAAAAAAAGGGATCTCTGAGTTTGGGAGACCCCCATTTTCAGGCCTCACTATTC